AAGTCATGACTTTACGCTTGCAAAGCAGGCGGCAGTACTACTGAGCTAAATCCCCAGGCCCTATAATTTTATTCTTTAGGTATAGTAACTTCAGGTCCTCTTCCTGCCAATTCCCTCTTGACTAGATCTCACAGCGTTTTTTTCCTAAGCCACTGTAACTTTGATCTGAAAGGCCTCAAATAAAATAAACCATAAAAAAAGTCCACTAAATTTTAACTTTCTATAATAATGGTTTTGTAGTTTTAGAATATAGAGAGAGGAATCAATGTTTTATATTTTTTTAAGGCTTTTTGAATACCTTTAACTACAATAATTAGATTTATATGCCCTAGCTTAAATTTCTAGCCAGATAATTTTACACAGCACCCTATACAGAAATGTTATGTATCTGTAACTAAAATACCTATTTTTAATGTTAAACAATTATCATGTTTAAAGCATTGTACATCAAAGTTATAAGCTCAGCTTCATGCATTATAATTAGTTCCTATAGTTACCTAGGAGCTACACTACAACCTTTTAAAAGGTTAGTCATGCCAATATTGTCTATATTTTATGCCATTCTTTAACAGGTTATAGGCGAGTGACCACAACTGAGTAATATTAAGATCATGAAAGTGTCATCTTATTTTTTTAATTTTAAAAATAAGATGCCAAAATGTATAATTTCAAATATAAGCTGAAGACAAGAAATTAAAAAGATGCATTTTTCACAAGCTGAATGAATAAAATGGAATGTTTCAAGCATTGTATAATTATGCCTTGCTTTTCTTGTATCTGAAAGGCATGTGACACAAATAGTTAGAAAACAATACTTATGAAATTCTGAGAGATTTCAAAAAACAGAAATTGCAAATATTGAGGAAATAGGCATATGTTTTGAAAACCTGACGTTTTTAGGGATGGCAGCCCAGGATATAACTATTGTTCACATTAATGTTTATTAACCCTCTCTTTAATATGGTTGTGTTCTAAACTGGATAAATCTGATATACTTGATGTTACGAAAGGCAACCAAAGATGTGTCATTTTTCAAAAATATTCTATAATAGCAACCTGCAAATAATAACTAGCCTTGTAGCAAAGGTACCTATTAATAGGAAAATATGATTAAGCTATTTTTTAACTTGAAGATTTATTTCCATTTGATCTGGGCATGGTGGTACACACCTATAATCCCAGCACTTTGGAGGCTGAGGAAGGAGTACTGACTGCCATGAGTTTGAAGCCAGTTTGGGCTACATGAATTCAAGGCAGCCTGAACTACATTGTGAGAACCTGTCTCAAAATACAAAACAAACAAACAAACAAAAAAAAGATTTATATACTTTCAAACTTTATTGTTAAGCATGTTTTCTCTCACAGAGGGAAAGGCTTCTAATTTTTCTACATTAAAAAAGTTTGAATATTAAAGTTTTAAGGAAAGCTTTGCAAAAGAGCTTCACATTATGACAGATATGAACCTGTGAAAAATATAAAAACTGTAATACAGAAATTAAACAACAATAAAGTAGCTTCCTGTAAAAGTTTTACAAAAAGCATGAGTTAATATACTGAAAGCAATCTAAATTACATACCTATCAGATTTTATTATGAATATTAAAAATAAAATGTGCATTGTGAGCTATCTATAAAAACAATAAAAAGATGTAGATTATTTTTAATTAAGATTAAATCATATTGCATTTTGATGATTTAATTAGATTTGAATAATATGTTATAATTTGTTTAAATTTTTAAAATGCCACTGATGGTAACACAGAAAATGATAGTATGGTAATGTTATACAGCAGTGATTATTAATTTGTCTAAAACCATCAACCTTTATTAATATTACCTGATTATAAAGACCTATAAAGAGAAAAGTAGCATCGTTTTCCATTAGAAAGGCAATGCAAAAATTTAGTCAATTCACTCTTCACTATACATAATTTGAAATTTTTATGAGACAAATGTAGTAATTTCAAAAATATAAGCTTAGTTTTAAATAACATTTCACATTTAATGTACTCTCATAATCTGAATAACTAATTCTTTTTAGTAAATTCATATCATAAAACCAAATCAACTAGAAAATTTACACTTGATCTTAGCCAAAAGGAAGAGAAGCCATAACTAGAAAATTTAAAATGCAATAATTAGTAAATAGTTCTCTAAGTATATTATTTAAGTTTTTTTTCCTGGTATCAGGGATTGAACTCAGGACCTTGCACTTGTGAGTCAGGTATGGTGCAACTGAGCTAAATCCCCAGCCCATCTAAGTATATTATTTAAGTAACCTGTAAAGTCAGGTGTGAGCAGTCCTTAAACTAAATATCAAAATAAACTGCTGCCAAAATAGGATTCAACTATTAAATTATAATTCGATTGATATTTGAGAATAGGATATCACTAAGAAGGCTAATCTGATATACTGTGGGATTTCCAAAATCAGGTTTGGAGGAAACTTGTACCTCAAACTGAGAATCCAGTTGTCCTTTTCCTTCTTCCTTCTTTTAGAATCACCTTTCTTTGCTGAGATGGTTCAGGACAATTGCCTGAAGCAATTCAGTGATGGCAAACCTTTTAGAGCTTTTAATGATACAAATATCATGCTATAGGACGAGGGCCATAGGTTTAGCACCACTGATTCTATTAACAAAAAAGGCTTTACTAACAATTGAAGTACACAGCATCCTGTCATTTTCTAAGGTTCATTACCAAATAAACTTAATAAAACAAAAAGAGAAAAACTGTAAACTTTCCATCCCACCCAATCCTCTACCATTTTAAATTATTTCACAATGCTGGAACTCAAATGAAAGTGTGCAAAGTCACCTGGAGAAATTGTGAGACTGTTAGACTCTCATCAACTGAGAGACACTGAGCCAGTGGGTCTGAATTAGATCACCTGTATTTCTAATGATTCCCAGGTAATGCTGATAACTGGTTGCAGGGAACACATACTTTATACCATTAGTTGAGACAATTCCATATAATAGGTGTATAATTTAGCCACTTTTCTGTTAGATATGTGTTTCCAATGATGTTATTACGAATACCATTTCACGAATAACCTTTGTACATCATCAGAAATAATCTGCACACATTTTAAGGTTCTCAATATATATTTCCAGTTAAATTTCTAAAACATGCTTCCAAATTACATACCCTGCAGCATAAACATTACAGAATGTTTTTTTCCAATCTCTCCAATTAGTAAGGAATTAGCTTCAAAGGCTAGGTTCAAAACCCTAGTTTTTTGGCTCAATAAAATATTAAACTTACTTGAACAAATCAGTGGTTTCCTGTTCACTGTCTTGTGTTGTATCCAAAGAAAAGGCATCTGAGAGTTCATCTGAGTTGAACTCTTGTTCTTCTGCTGGAAGTGCTTGGATTCCCAGTGAGCCACTGAAAATTTCCCTCTCTCTTTTGCTATCTTCCACATGACTATCACAATGAATCTGTAAACCTTGCTCAGTTATATCATGGTCATCTTTGAAAGACTGCTTAACTTCACCAAGAGATGATTTTCCTGAGATATTGAACAAGTTACCAAGAAAGTGAAAAAAGCTTTCTTTTGGTTGTCTGTCATTTTCTCCTGCTTTGCTATCTGCAGTAGAACTAGAAAGGTCACTTGGCTTTTTGGGGTCCTCCACTGTTGAAAGAGAAATGAGCTTATCAGCATGGTTCCTTTTGTCCTCACACTGGGGAATCTGAAAACAAAATAGAAAATGATGAGCATCATCATTTAAAAATAACATACATGGTCTGGGGATTTAGCTCAGTGGTTCCAGCACCTGCCTGGCAAATGCAAGGACACGAGTTCGATCCCTGGTACAAAAAAAAAAAAAAAAAAAA